TGGTCTGACGTAAAACGTCAAATCTACGTCGGATGTATGTTGTGTCTGATGTAGATTTGACATTTTACGTCGGACCCTACCAGGTCCGACGTAAAAAAGGATGCGAAATTTGAATTAGAGAGTGCGAGACACACCGCGCACATTCACTTTTCATCACTTTTCATTTTTTTCTCTGTAAACCCTCTCCCTCTCCTTTGTTACTGAATCGGTTTTTTGTCTTTTGCAGAGGGGTGAACTCTTTGTTACTCATTCGCACACTGTTGCAGCTCATCAAGTATGAATCAAGGTTTTGTTAACACTTTTTTGCTTCGCATTGTTATTGTGGATATCTGTTCTATTCAATTTTTTGGTTGTTCTATTTGTATAGGTCGTTGGCCTTTTCTTTTGCGTTGTTCTACAAAGCAGAACAGGCCGTTCTGCAAGGAGAACGGGCCATTCTGCTTGCATTCTTATGTTTTTTTTTGTTTTTTTTACTACTTTTTTACGTCGGATTTTTGGAATGTCCGACGTAAATTTACGTCAGTTTATAGGATCGAAGTAAATTTACGTCTCCCGCTTCTATGTCGGTATTTTTTCTAACATAAAAAGCTCAAAATATCCGACGTAAAATACTTATAGGCTTGGATTAAACTGAAGACTAGAACTTTACTTGTAAAATTACAAGTCAAAATTTTCATAGCAGATGGCTAAATCTACCCATAATTAAATTCAAACAAAACCATATTACAAAACAAATTGCTGAGAAAACATAGAGTAAAAATAACAATTCTTCAAAATTTAGATTGAATTTGAATTTGAAATTGAAAGTGATTCAAACAGCAACAAACCCCTGAACTATCTACACTCAAGGTAAGCCCCAAAAATACCATAATGGTTAAAAATAATAATTGAATTTAATAAACCATGCCCTTTCAACACCAAAAAAAGTTAAAGGATTTGATTCATAGACACCATTCTCCACCACAAAAAAATAATCACAGACATAAATTTAGGAGAAACAAAATTAAAGGATTTGATTCATAGACACCATTCTCCACCACAAAAAAATAATCATAGACATAAATTTAGGAGAAACAAAATTAAAGGATTTGATTCATTAGCAAACGCATCAACTAAAAGGCCATCAAAAGAGAGTAAAAGAATATTCACCAGGAAATAAAAAAGGAAAACAATGTACTCGAACAAAAATGACAAGGCGCAGCGGCGACGAGGCACAATGGCGACAAGGCGCAGCGGTGACGAGGCGCAGCGACGACGACGCGCAGTGGCTCTGGTGGATGAACAGCGCTAAGGGAGGGTTTGGAAAAATAGGGTTGAAATGAGAGTTCTTCACGGAGAGAGGGTTCTTATGCTTCTCAATACTACATCGGTTATTGGGTGAACCAACGTAGATCTATTTATAATTATTCACAAAATTGCCACCGTGTATTCAATACTATATCAGTCCCATTAAAAACGATGTAGAACACTCAATATTTACATCGGTCCCAGCCATAACCGATGTAAATATGCTTTATATTATATACTTATTTACAAACATGTCACCGCATTTGATTTCTACATCGATTTAGGTAAAATCGATGTAGAATTGACGACGTAAAATAGTAACTTTCTAGTAGTGAGTGACATATAAGAAAAAATATAGCTAAAAATAGCTTATAGTGACACTAAAAGTTGTGTCATTATAAGATGTGTGTAACTATAGGACATTTTTTTGTAGTGTCATTTAATCAATTAATATATCCTTTTTATATATATAGAAAACTTAGGGTGTTCTAGTGCTAAAGTTGCTCAATCTGGAAATATAATACATGGTATATGTTTTGTTCTTACCGGAGATCGGTCGTAGGGACGATCTGCTGGGCAAGATTGGTGAGCCTCCTTCGCTGGGTACGATTGCTGTTCCAAGTGGGGGTGGTTCCTGCAAAAGAGACTCTGATGCTAAAGTTAGTGTTTGTGGATGGATGGATCTCGTATAAGTAATGAACGTACCTTTGTGTAAATTAGGGTTTTTCTAGGCCTTGGGCCTGAGATCGATTGTGGGCCTTGTTTTGGCCGATGTCGCGCAGCACGTGTCCGATGTCAATCTACACTGTATTGCCAAGCTTGAGCTCAGCTTAGCAGCTCGAGCTCTGAAGACCATCGGTCGAGGAGTTAATACCGAGCTCGACAAGGGGTCGTGACTCTTCGCGTACGCCTATTTATCAAGATGCCATGTGTCATAACCGTCACCTCGTTCCCAAAACGCGTGGGCGGTGTGTTAATGGGAGGTGACGGTTATGTAATGATGGCATACTTTGCCATGATGGGCCTTATTAAATGTGTCGTCAGTTGTGCCTCCCTCCTGACACGTGTCACAGCCGTTTGAATTTTTGCAAACCCCTTTTTTCTCTCTCGCGCTCTTTCCCCTTTCACTTTACTCTTTCGTTCTCTTTCTTCCTTGGCTTCTTGCGCATGTCGATCTTTGCACTCCTCCTTTCATCGTCTCCGTTTGCCTTTGCCGTCGCCGTTTTCGGCAACTCCGTCGTTGTTAAGGTCAATACCAAAGGAGTACCAGGTACTTCATTTTCTCTGTCTTCTCTTTCTGCTCTTCCTCCCTACCAGTCTTCTTCGTCTTTCTCCTTTTCTCCAATCTTTCCTGTTCTCGATTACGAGTGACAGTGGTGTCGCTCCTCCTGTGCCTGCCAAGGGCAAAGGCAGGGCGCGCGGCAAGGCGGTGGCCGTCGAGACGACCACCGTCGAAAATAAAAAGGGTGGAAACCAACCTAGGGAACCTTTTCCCGTCATCTCTGGCTACGAGTGGGTCAGGGGTGACGTTAGAGAGTTCCAGAGTGTCTTTAAGTCATTCTTGGAGATCAATGCGATGTGGAAATCGCACAGGATCTGCCAATCATCCATCTCTAAGCTCATCCGGCTTGAACCTTGTCAGCCCGGCGAGCGTGTATATATGGAGGGTATCTCCAATCCCCCCTTTTTCTATGTGTACCAATGTTTTTTCAGGGACTTGGGTGTATGCCTTCCCTTTACGCAGTTCGAATGCAATTTTTTGAACTTTGTCAATGTGGCTCCTTGCCAACTTCACCCCAACAACTAGGGTTTTTTGAGGGCTTTTCAAGTCATGTGCTCGACCCTAGGGATAGGGTTGTCTCTGCTTGTTTTCCTTCATTTTTACCAACTTAAGTTGGGTGAGCGTCCCTTCGGTTGGTTTTCTCTGAACGAGAGTAAGGATGGGGGGTTGTTTTCGCTTTACTCCCAGTCGTATAAGGGCTTCAAGAAAGAGTTTTTCTAGGTTCTTCAAAGGTTTTGAACCTTTGAGCTAGGTTCCTCAAGATTCTTCAAGCTTCTTGAAGTGGCCGAACCATCCAAGTTGCTTCTCCACCATTGAAGGTTCTTCAAAGGTGTTTCAAGCTTCTAATCCATCAACCTCAAGGTGCAAAGATCGAATTAAGGCTGAGCTATGGAGATTCAACAATCGTTCTTCATCTAGCTTCCATCAGCTGTCTTCTTATCTTTGTGCACTGTCCAGGGAGTTTACCGACCTAGAGGTCATCAAGCTCGTCAATGGGACTTGGCCGTTCTTCATGGGATTCTGACCTTGGATCCAGGTCAGTGATGTCAACCTGGGCTGTGTGAGCTACGGTTGGGGGGGTCACATTTGTGACGTTCCTCGGATGGCGAGACCTTCGAAGTTTTCAATCGACCTCGCCGGCAATTGTGTGTACCCAGCCAGTGCAGTTCTCTTGAGTGAGGTCGGAAAAACCTACACAGAATAGTATCCTCATTAGTGTAAAGGTTTACCTATGTAATGTAGAGATTGAAATGCTCGTCCGGGTCAGTCGTGCCATCGTAACGGTCGATGCTGAGAGGCTTCCATCCGAAAGGGAGGGGCGTCTCCATAATGCCGTCAATAAAGGGGTGGCGGCGGATGCTCGCCCTATGTCCTGGATCTTGGGCGCGCGCGTTGCTGACTTCATGACCCGACCTATTCATTGGTGCGTGTGACCGATGTGTGGCAGACCTGTGGGTCGGTGCCCTAGGTGTAGTCGGTGGTTGGGAAACCGAGTGCCCCTCTTCCTCGTGTTGATTACTCGGTTGAGGGGGTTGATCAGAAGGACGCTGAGGAAGTTGGGCGCGAATGCGCTCATTTTTGGCGCGCAGCACCGCTAGGTCAGTTTCGTTCTCGGCACGCAGCGTCGCTAGGTCAGTTTCGTGCTTGGCACGGATGTTTTGCAGGTCGGCGGCATGTTGCTTCCGCATTTGTTCGACCTGTTCGATCAGTCTTCTCAGTGCTGCCTCCCTGTCCATTGGTCGTCTACTATGGCTTCGGGTGAAAACCATAAGCGTGGCCGATAAGAGTTGTCTTGATCGGCCCCACAGTGAGCGCCAAATGTTCTTACTGGAGATCGGTACTAGGTGTCGCCACCGGCCCGAAACGGGCTTTCGGCATGAGAATCCTAGAGAGAGAAAGAGGAGAGAGAGAGAAAAGGAGAGAGAGAAATAAAGAGAAGAGGAGAAAAGAAAAGAGGAGAGAGAAAGAGGAATCTAGTAGAGGAGGTTCTGCCAGGGGAGAGAAAAGAGGAGGGAGAGGATGAGATTCTGCCCGAGTTTCGGTCCTTTTTTAAGGAAAGAGGTGGAGATTCTGCCCGAGTTTCGGTTCTTATCTAAGGAAAAGGGAGGAGGAGGTTTTGCCCGAATTTCAGTTCAGGTTTATCCAAGTAAGGGTAGTGCTTATAAAATTAATCTAGTACATATGAACATGATAGGAATAGTATAATTTTAATATGCTACTTTATGTGGAGATTTTCATTTCACATAGTATAATTTGGATCAATTGATGGTTGTTTTAAATATTTAATTATTTATATTATTATTATATTGACAAATTGGCATGGTTATGGTTATGTTTAATTATGGAATATGCTATGTGTATTAAATCACATTCGAAGTTAAATTTTAGCTATTTGATTTCTATTTCAACTCTATTTCAGCCAGAAACATTTTGGATTTCTAACTCTTTTAATTTCAACTGGCAGGAAATGAAGGAACAGGGTGTACAAGAGGACAAGTTGGTGCTTTTGAAGGGTGTTAGTGGTGCATTCAGGCCTGGTGTTCTCACAGCTTTGATGGGTGTAAGTGGAGCTGGTAAGACTACTTTGATGGATGTTCTGGCTGGTAGGAAAACTGGTGGATATATTGAAGGAAGCATCAAAATTTCTGGGTACCCTAAGAAGCAAGAAACATTTGCTCGTATCTCTGGCTACTGTGAGCAAAATGATATCCACTCACCTCATGTTACAGTTTATGAATCCTTGCTCTACTCAGCATGGCTTCGTTTACCTTCAAGTGTTGATTCCAAAACCAGAAAGGTTAGTTGGTAGAATCAGTGAAAATGATTTAATTAGTCATTTAGATAACTATCTTTCTCTGCTTAGAGGCTGATTGTTCAAACTTTTTCCATTTGAAAAATGCTTGCAGATGTTCATTGAGGAAGTCATGGAACTGGTGGAGCTGAACCCATTAAGGAACTCGCTGGTTGGATTGCCTGGTGTGAGTGGTCTCTCAACTGAACAACGCAAGAGGCTGACTATTGCAGTTGAATTAGTGGCTAACCCGTCCATCATTTTCATGGATGAGCCTACTTCTGGGTTAGATGCAAGAGCTGCTGCAATTGTTATGAGAACAGTCAGGAACACCGTGGACACCGGAAGAACTGTTGTCTGCACAATCCATCAGCCTAGCATTGACATATTTGAAGCCTTTGATGAGGTGAGTGATGATAATGATAAATGAAGCTGTCTTATTGTTTAGTTTCTTTCTCCATTAGACTTTAATCTAATATGATATTTGATGTGTGATTCCAGTTATTCCTAATGAAGCGTGGAGGACAAGAAATATATGTTGGGCCACTGGGTCGTCATTCTAGTCATTTGATCAAGTATTTTGAGGTAAGATCATAGTTAAATTCATTAATTCAATAGTATTAAGTGAACAACTATAATTCTTGACAATAGATGCTAAAATTTTCCATTAATTTCCACTGTCCAGAGCATTGAAGGGGTGAGCAAAATCAAAGACGGATATAACCCGGCTACTTGGATGTTGGAAGTTACGACTACAGCACAAGAACTTAGTTTGGGTGTCGATTTTACTGACTTGTACAAGAATTCTGATCTATATAGGTAGGCCAATGCGTATGGATATGAATTTGTTTACCATACCAGTTATTGTCATCTTTGTTTTCAAAATGCTTAAATGAGTTATTCATGGCTTTTCAGGAGAAACAAGCAGCTCATACAAGAACTGGGTCAGCCTGCTCCTGGTTCAAAGGATCTTTATTTCCCTACTCAATTCTCTCAGTCATTCTTAGTTCAATGCCAAGCTTGCTTATGGAAGCAACGTTGGTCATATTGGCGTAATCCTCCATACACTGCTGTGAGGTTTTTCTTCACTACTTTCATAGCCCTGATGTTTGGGACAATGTTTTGGGACCTCGGAGGCAAACAGTAAGTAAAAAAATAGTAAAATTTAAGTAAATTTTTATTACTCGCATCTTCCAAATTCCACTCAAGTTCTAATTTCTTCTTGTGATTTTACAGTTCAAGTAGACAAGACCTGTTGAATGCTCTAGGTTCAATGTATACTGCTGTTCTCTTTCTTGGAGTACAAAATTCTTCCTCTGTACAGCCTGTGGTAGCAGTTGAAAGAACTGTCTTTTATAGAGAAAAAGCTGCCGGAATGTATTCTGCCTTACCCTATGCATTTGCACAGGTAACTAACACTATTATTTATTTTAGACATTATTAGTACTTTAGTTTGCATACATTGGTCATGATATTAAATTCCCTACTTTTTGTCACAGATTCTGGTGGAGCTACCCTATGTTTTTGCTCAAGCCGTGACATATGGTCTAATAGTTTATGCCATGATCGGATTTGAATGGACCGTAGAGAAATTCTTTTGGTATCTATTTTTCATGTACTTCACATTGTTGTACTTCACCTTCTATGGCATGATGGCTGTGGCAGTGACACCAAACCACCATGTTGCTTCGATTGTGGCTGCTGCATTTTATGCTATTTGGAATCTCTTCTCAGGATTTGTTGTCACAAGACCTGTAAGTTGTTGCCATCCTTTGAATACATTGTTGAGAAGGGTCATTGTTTTAAATTTTAATGCATATTTATGATTATTATTCTTTTCCATTTTGAACAGAAAATCCCCATTTGGTGGAGATGGTACTATTGGGCATGTCCAGTGGCTTGGACCCTATATGGATTGGTTGCATCTCAGTTTGGAGATTTAATGGACCCAATGTCCTCTGAAGGTGAAAAGCTTGTGAAGTATTTCATAGAAGACTACTTTGGTATCAAACATGACTTCATTGGAGTTTGTGCTGTTGTCGTTGCTGGCATCGCAGTTCTCTTTGCATTTATTTTCGCTGTTGCAATCAAGACCTTTAACTTCCAAAAGAGATAAATTGGAATGTTTATCCAAACTGAAAGATTTTTTTATATATATATATATTTTCAACTTTTTGTTTTCTTTTCTTTTTATTCTTGTACTATTTGTATCTATCATTTATGCAACACAAGTTAATTTCTAGGTTGTTATTTATGAATGTATGATGAATTTCAATAGATCTTTTTTATCCTTATCTTGTAGCTAGTCACAAGGATGTGCATCACACAAGTTAATCCAATGAAGCTTTAAGAAGCATGTACTTCAATACATGGTTACTCTCTTGATCTAAAATTATAAAAAAGAAAATAAGAGATAATTCATTTTTATTTAATACTTATTTATATTGTTGGGATATAATCAAAATTTTACGTCAAAACAAGAGGATGAACACAAGTTTATAAATACTTAGTCTCTATTAGTAAGAAGTTACAAAACTGATGAAGATTTTCGCAAACCCACCACTTGGCAAGTGAACCAAGTTTCGAAGTAGTATTCAAATATCGTCCTCAGAGATTTGAGTGTTTAGTAATTCTTGCTCTGATGATTTAAATGAGAATGATGTTAAAATTGCAAATGGGTAAAGATGGAGTAAAACAACACAATAAAATAAAAGTAGTAAAGACAATGATTAAGAGACAAGGATTGGTTCAGAAGCACTTGCTAACTCGTATATCTTCTTAAAATAAATGCGATTCTAATTCCATTATTTCCACGTTCATTAAATAATCCAACAAGATTTCTCAAGGTTGAATCCTAAAGTCATTAAGCTCAAAACATGATTCCTCTATGTTTTGAGTTTAACACTTCGCATTAAGAACAATAACTTGAATAATGTGACTAACCAAATCAAGTCTATTCCTAGAACAAGAAATGATTAGGTGCAAGATTCAGTTCGGGTTTTCAAAAACGTTTTCCAACTGAATTCAAAAATCAAAAATCATACAACGGGTGATCAAGCCGATATAAGCATTAAGAGAAGAATCAATGCACAAATAATGAGATCAAAATGCATATATTTAAGAAAAAGAAGAGTTAGTAGTTACATCCAACCAATCCTCAAGGAGTTTAGCCACACATGGCCATTACAAGATCTAAGAGGTAAAAGAAGAAATTACAAAGTAAAGGATGAAGAAATGGAGTTGATCTTCGTTCCCAAAGGATTCAGCTTCCAAATCTTTGTTCTCCCCTTGTTCTTCCTTCTTCCAGTGCTCCGTAATCTGTTTTTCCCTTTAATTTCGTGATACCTGGTTTCTCCTCTTTTCCCCTTTTATATGGGCTTCAAAACAGGGCCAAAAAGTGACTTTTATTCCCACGGCTGCAGTTGTAGATCCACGGTTATAGCTGTGGAGAGTCCTTCAGGGTGAAGAAACCTCTGGCGCTGCAGCTTTAGCTCCACAGCCATGGCTGTGGAAACTCCTTCACGATTAAGCAACTCCCTGAGCTGTAGTTGTGAAACCATAGCTATGGCTGTGAGTCTCTGTGGCTTTTCCTTGATTTCTCAAGTCTCAACGCTCAAGCTTTGGACCTGCAGCTTTAGCTTCAAGTCTCTAGAACCAAAAATGAGCATTCCAGATTTCCACAGCTATAGCTGCAGAACCACAGCTATAGCTGCAAGTTTCTGGTCTTCAAAATTTCTCCCCAGATTTCCACAGCTATAACTCCAGAACCACAGCTATGGCTGTGGAAATCTATCTTCTCAATTTTTCTACAAAAAATGGAGAGAAAACATTAGGCTTTTACTACTACTCTACTACCCTTTTAGTATATTTTGATTCTTCTAATTTAGGGGCAAAATAACATATATAAATATCTACAAATACCAAAAAGAGTACCAAAAGTTGAGTGTAAATTACACATAAAAGACACTCAACAAAAACTAACGAGAGAAGTTTGAAACAATAATTGTAAAAGTAAAACTTGCTTGACGATTTTTTCTACAAAAGTAATAATGTTATATTTTTTCACTCTTCTTTTAGTTTCTTTTTTTAACTAAAAAGACTCAATACTTCTTAACACTAAAATATTGCTCAATATCAGGAAATCCAATAGTTGGGAAAAGAAAAGGTTATATACCATGACTTGCAGGTCTTTTTTGTGGTTTTAGGTGTTTTTTTATCATAGAAAAACAAGGAATTCCTTGGATGACCCCGTTACAAGCCAAAAAAAATATAATTGTCCTTAGTAATCATTGTATACTTGTTATGTAATTGGTTTGAAAGGACAAGATGAAGAGAAAAACTATATTAGATGATGTGTGATGCGTGAATTGAGATAAAGACTAATCTTTATGATTATACTTGAATAATGAATAAAGCAAGTGCATTGAAAATTCATAATTATGACTGTCATGATATATGGCTAATTCTTTTAAAATTTCTTTATACATTTTTTTAGTGTGAATATGATATAATTACCGTGGTGGATGATGTAATTATTTGGATAGTTAAGAAAAAAAGAAACTTAACTAATGAGATTTGTTCAACTTGAGTTTTTCTTAATCTATCTTATTTATATAATAGAGACTATGTTTGGTTTATGTTTATTAGAGGACAAACAAGATTCTAAGTTTAACCTGTTTTGATAATTGTCAAATATCTCAATATCTTTTATTTGATATAGATAATTATCTAACATATTTTATGCTTTAGAATCCTCTTTTCTGTCAAAAATTAAATTTTAATTTTGTTCAATTAATTAGTAGAGTTCTTCATAGAGGTCTTTCTTGTCAGACGATGCTTTGGATGTTTGCCTTTTTTGGTATGATTGTTGTTGAGATTTTTCCGTTGAAATTATCTTTTGTTCTTGTTATAATTCATTTTAACTTTAACAATGGACTCAAACACGGCAAGTATACCGGCCGTACAAGTAGTAAATTTAAATCGTATCCACAGGAACTAATTAGGTAAAACAAGCATTTAATGACTATTTGTGAAATTTTTAACGTAAATAATATTTTTTTAAAAAAAAATATTATTTACGTAAAAAATTCACTATTTGTGACTAAAGGATAATTCTAATTTTTCATAGATTGTCATGCAATTGAAGTAAAGGTTATGACTTTTTTGGAATTTTAAAACTATAAAACTATTTGTGTGTGTGTGGAAGGGATAGAAATGATATTGTGATTTTGTAAGATTGTGGGGTCAGATATCACCGAACTTCACACTGATGAATCTTTGTTCTCTTGTTACATTCATTGCATAGTCAACCCATAAGTTTACTCAAACCTAATCCCTTAGAGCAAGAGCCTAGGTGCAGATAGTGAATATCAATTCCTTGAGTATCCAATATATACACCTGCATTACGGGTTAGGGTTTAAGACTATTAATGGGCCAAACTTCATTCCTAGATACATTTCCCACTAGGTATTTGTTTCAGAGTTAGTTTCAAAGGCTATTTTCCAATACCCAATAGATTCTATATCAAGCAAAGGAGAATTAATGTACGATTACTGTTCCAAGTGTGGGTGGTACCTGCAAAAGAGACTCTGATGCTAAAGTTAGTGTTTGTGGATGTATGGGTCTCGTATTAGTAATGCACGTACCTTTGTGTAAATTAGGGTTTTTCTAGGCCTTGGGCCTGAGATCGGTTACAGTCTGTTTAGATAGTGGGCCTTGTTTTGGCCGATGTCGTGCAGCACGTGTCCGATGTCAATCCGCGCTGTATTGCCGAGCTTGAGCTCGATTTAGCAGTACGGATAGTACATGTTTCATAGATGAGCAACCCTTTGTTGTACTTTTTGATTCAAGTGTAACCCATTCTTTTATTTCCTTTACTTGTGTCAAAAAGTTAAAGTTGTTTATGTCTTGCTTGATTTACGACTTGGTTATGGACACCCTACTGATGGTCTCATAACTATTTCTAGTATTTGTTTGAATTGTCCCATTATAATTTTTTAAAATCTGTTTTTAGTTGATTTAATTTGTTTGCCTCATAATTAACTATATATTATTTTTCCAATAGACTAGTTATCTTCCAATTATATCCTATACCTAATAGGCCATTTGGCCACCCTAAATCGATAAGATCGAGATCCCTTTAACACCCTCAGTAACCAAAGAGATCAATCGAAAGCCTTTTCAAGATCGCATGACCTAGATTTTCTAGCTCCTAAAACATTCTCTGGGAGATATGTATATTGGATAGGCCATTTGCCCACCTTAAATTGACAACACTGAGATTCTTTTGACATCCTCCATAGTCGAAGAGATCAATGGAAAGCCTTCATCCATCCATTGGATATGATTGTTATATGAGGAACATTTCCTAAACGTAGCTAGTATGCTCCCATAATTTACGACTTGTAAACTTTTCTAGAAGTCATAAAAAGATAAATATTTTCTATAAATTAAAATTAACTGATGTATAGGTTAAATATAATTTTTTTAAAAAAATAGTTTCTATTTTTATAAAAAATATTTTATGAAAATCAAATTAAAATAAAGAAATTTTAATTTAATAAAAAAATTTCTTAAATATAAATAATCAGATTCACTCCTTTATTAAATATGAAAGAGTATAAGAGTATTTAAAAAAAAATATTTAACGTGAATATTTTTAAGAAGTTTTCTCGATGGATAAAGTTTTAATAATTTTTAAAATTATTATCTATTTTAATTTTTATTTATCATATTTATTTATAAATAAATTTTAAAATAAATTATCAA